GATATGTTTATATTATGATTACGGTATGGTTATTTAATGATTTCGGTATGTTTGTGTCATGACATGTTTATGTTATAATTACGGTATGTTTGTGTTATGATTACGGTATGTTTGTGTTATGATCACGATCTGTTTGTGTTATGATTACGGTATGTTTATGTTATGATTACGGTATGTTTATGTTATGATTACGGTATGTTTGTGTTATGATTACGGTTTGTTTGTGTCATGATTACGGTATGCTTATGCTACGATTACGGTATGTTTATGTCATGATTACGGTATGTTTGTGTTATGATTACGGTTTGTTTGTGTCATGATTTCGGTATGTTTATGTTATGATTACGGTATATTTAGGTTATGATTACGGTATGTTTGTGTCATGATTTTAGTATGTTTGTGTCATGACTACGGTATGTTTATGTTATGATTACGGAATTTTGATGTTATGATTACGGTATGTTTATGTTATGATTACGGTATGTTTGTGTTATGATTACGGTTTGTTGGTGTCATGATTACGGTATGTTTATGTTACGATTACGGTATGTTTATGTTATGATTAAGGTATGTTTATGTTACGATTACGGTATGTTTGTGTTATGATTACGGTATTTTTGTGTTATGATTACGGTTTGTTTGTGTCATGATTACGGGATGTTTATGTTTTGATTACGATATATTTATGTTATGATTTCGGTGTCTTTGTGTCATGATTTTAGTATGTTTGTGTCATAACTACGGTATGTTTATGTTATGATTACGGAATTTTGATGTTATGCTTACGGTATGTTTATGTTATGATTACGGTTTGGTTTTGTCATGATTACGGTATGTTTGTGTTATGATTACTGTTTGTTTGTGTCATGATTACGGTATGTTTATGTTATTATTACGGTATGTTTATGTTATGATTACGGTATCTTTGTGTAATGATTTTAGTATGTTTGTGTCATGATTATGGTATGTTTGTGTCATGATTACTGTTTTTTTGTGTCATGATTACGGGATGTTTATGTTTTGATTACGATATATTTATGTTATGATTTCGGTGTCTTTGTGTCATGTTTTAAGTATGTTTGTGTCATGATTACGGTATGGTTATGTTATGATTACGGTATGTTTATGTTTTGATTACGATATATTTATGTTATGATTTCGGTGTCTTTGTGTCATGTTTTAAGTATGTTTGTGTCATGATTACGGTATGGTTATGTTATGATTACGGTATGTTTATGTTACGATTACGGTATGTTTGTGTTATGATTACGGTTTGTTTGTGTTATGATTACGGTATGTTTGTGTTATGATTACAATTTGTTTGTGTCATGATTGTCATGATTACGGTATGTTTATGTTATGATTACAGTATGTTTGTGTTATGATTACAATTTGTTTGTGTCATGATTGTCATGATTACGGTATGTTTATGTTATGATTACGGTATGTTTATGTTATGATTACGGTATCTTTGTGTCATGATTTTAGTATGTTTGTGTCATGATTACGGTATGTTTGTGTCATGATTACTGTTTTTTTGTGTCATGATTACGGTATGTTTATGTTATGATTACGGTATATTTATGTTATGATTACGGTATGTTTATGTTATGATTACGGTATGTTTATGTTATGATTACGGTATGTTTGTGTTATGATTACGGTATGTTTGTGTTATGATTACAATTTGTTTGTGTCATGATTACGGTATGTTTATGTTTTGATTACGATATAGTTATGTTATGATTTCGGTGTCTTTGTGTCATTATTTTAGTATGTTTGTGTCATGATTACTGTAAGTTTATGTTATGATTACGGTATGTTTGGGTTATGATTACGGTATGTTTGTGTTATGCTTACGGTATGTTTGTGTTATGATAGCGGCATATTTGGTATGTTTATGTTATGATTACGGTTTGTTTGTGTTATGATTACGGTATGTTTATGTTATGATAACGGCATGTTTATGTTATTATTACGGTGTGTTTTTATGTTATGATTACGGTATGGTCGTGTTATTATTACGATATGTTTATGTTATGATTACTGTATGGTTGTGTTATGATTACGGTCTGTTTTTCTTGTGATTACGATATGTTTGTGTTTTGATTACGGTATGTTTGTGTTATGATCACGTTATGTTTGTGTTATGATTACGGTATTTTTGTGTTATGATAACTGTTTGCTTGTGTCATGATTACGGTATGTTTATGGTATGATTACGGTATGTTTATGTTATTATTACGGTGTGTTTTTATGTTATGATTACGGTATGGTTGTGTTATTATTACGATATGTTTATGTTATGATTACTGTATGGTTGTGTTATGATTACGGTGTGTTTTTCTTGTGATTACGATATGTTTGTGTTTTGATTACGGTATGTTTGTGTTATGATTACGGTTTGTTTTTGTCATGATTACGGTATGTTTGTGTCATGATTACTGTTTTTTTGTGTCATGATTACGGCATGTTTATGTTATGATTACGGTATATTCATGTTATGATTACGGAATGTTTATGTTATTATTACGGTATGTTTATGTTATGACTACGGTTTGTTTGTGTTATGATTACGGTATGTTTATGTTACGATTATGTGTTATGATTACGGTTTGTTTGTGTTATGATTACGGTCTGTTTATGTTATGATTACGGTATATTCATGTTATGATTACGGAATGTTTATGTTATTATTACGGTATGTTTATGTTATGACTACGGTTTGTTTGTGTTATGATTACGGTATGTTTGTGTTATGATTACGGTATGTTTGTGTTATGATAACTGTTTGCTTGTGTCATGATTACGGTATGTTTATGTTATGATTACGGTATATTTATGTTATGATTACGGTATGTTTGTGTTATGATTACTGTTTGTTTGTGTCATGATTACGGTATGTTTATGTTATGATTACGGTTTGTTTTCGTCATGATTACGGTATGTTTGTGTTATGATTACGGTATGTTTATGTTATGATTACGGTTTGTTTTCGTCATGATTACGGTATGTTTGTGTTATGATTACGGTTTGTTTGTGTTATGATTACGGTATGTTTGTGTTATGATAGCGGCATATTTATGTTATGATTACGGTATGTTTGTGTTATGGGTACGGTGTGTTTATGTTATGATTACGGTATGGTTGTGTTATGATTACGGTGTGTTTTTCTTGTGATTACGATATGTTTGTGTTATGATTACGGTATGTTTGTGTTATGATAGCGGCATATTTATGTTATGATTACGGTATGTTTGTGTTATGGTTACGGTGTGTTTATGTTATGATTACGGTATGGTTGTGTTATGATTACGGTATGTTTTTCTTGTGATTACGGTATGGTTGTGTAATGAAAAGATGTTGGGTAAGGTAAGATGTAAGAGAAAGGAGGAGACTACGTGAAGGAGCAGGAAGTGAGGGAAAGTGAGAGGATGAATAACAGGAGGAGACTTAGTAAAAGTAGAGGAGGTGATGTGAAAGAGTAAGAGACAGGAGGAGACTAACATTATTATTTGGAGAAGTTGAGGAAATTTGAGAGGGTAAGTAAAAGGAGGAAACTAACTTTATGGAGAGGAGGTGGGGAAATTTGAGAGGGTAAGTAACAGTAGGAGGTTAACTTTATGGAGAGGAGGTGGGGAAAGTTGAGAGGGTAAGAGACAGGAGGAGACTAACTTCATGGAGAGGAGGTGGGGAAAGTTGAGAGGGTAAGTAACAGGAGGAGACTAATTTTGCGCAACAGTGGGTGACTTAATTTTCGTGTAAAGATCTAGAGATGATGTGCTTAAAGGTTAGAGGTTAGGAGAACGAGGTCGGATGTGTATGAAGATAGGAACAGTCTGTGAACTCTTCACTTATAATATGTTAATTTGAAGTATAGAATTCTGGTTGAGGTATTTCTTTGATTCACGTATTACCGTTACTGAACTTGTGAATGTCAGAATACGACTGTCTGTCAGTGTGTTTATGCCGTACACAAATCAGCACACAGTTCGAGGCAATCGGGAACCGTCGGCCTTTTCCGTAAACGATGCTATTGATTAGTGAGCAACAGGTCTTATCTCACTTTCCTTCATTGTTTCCTTTTACTAGTAAGAAATGTGGGAATGCTTTATTGCGTTAGAGGGGAGGAACACGACTATTTAATTATTGCATACCAGTTTATTAAATAAAAAATCACTATAATATACGTAAAGGTTATTGCATGGTTTTCGAGTAACAAGGGATTTATTACACCCGAGCGAAGCGAGGTGTAATAAGTCCCGAGTGACGAGAAATCATGCAATAACTGGCTTACTGCATGCTTCCCAACTCGAACAAAACAGAAAAGTTGAGTAAAAAATGTTCACCTGAACAATCTTTTTACCTACCCTATCTACACTGCAGATAATTTACATGTACCTGTGTGAGTGAGTACTAATCACAACCAGGTAAGATTATCAATAGCCCAGTCTGAGTGTATCCTTCATAATGGATACAACTGTTTTAGGGTTACTATCCAGGTCCAGTGTCAGGGAAGGTAAGGAGTGTCTGTTCAAAATACGGGAAACAATGTTGAATTTCTGACTTCATTTTCAGTTTAATTTTCAAGATGTGGCAAAGGTACAGGATATTGAAACCATTTTCATACATACTATGTAAGGGTTTATCAATCCCTAATGAATTCCAGTTCTTTCAATGAATGGTATATTTGAATGTGCAATTTTGTATAAAGGAACAGTTCCTAAAGATTATAAACTTTTCCATGAAATGCTTATCCTCTCACGTGATAAGGAAATCTTTTTGTGTTTTTCAATCAGGAAATTACCATTTTTAACTTTTTTTCCCCCTTATTTTAAATGTGTCAACTAAGTTTATCCTTTCCACTGTATTGATTTCATCATTACTCACTGATTGATTATCTCCCCTTTCTTACAGCATTTGTGGCCACAGTCCACTGGGCACACTCCCTTCCATGGTCATGTAATCATGATTGGCCTTGAAAGGGGATTATGTGTGCAGTAGACTGTGGTAGCAAGTGATTTATTGCCCACACTTTTCCATTGTGAGAGGTGGGAAGTATGCAGTAAATTGTCAAGGCACGGTACATTCTGTGAACACACCTCAGGTGTGACGTGACAATAGTATGATAAAACCTCAGGTGTGACGTGACAATGGTATGATAAAACCTCAGGTGTGGTGTGACAATGGTATGATAAAACCTCAGATGTGACCTGACAATGGTATGATAAAACCGCAGGTATAAACACTTATAATTAATCACACATGTTCCTAATATTAGTATCAATGAAAAATGTATAGTCGGGCACACTGATTACTAGCACGCTTCATTGCAGTTGTCGCGTTCCAGTTGGCATTCATATTGTTTATGAATGCCAACTTAATGAATTCAATGCTTAAATATTTATAACTGAAATTTGAAGCAGTTCCGCCTCAGAATTTGAAAATTTAGAAAGTTTCCATGTCACAGAACTTATGAGAAACAGGTTGAGCACACATACCTGTTTTTAAACAAAATTCGGGTCTTGCATACACAAACACGCATCTGGTAAGACAAATGTCACCACAAACAAATCGTTTCAGTAAAGAAACCAACACCATACGATGGTTATGTATTAGTCAGCTGACGTCGGCGTTCGTCCGACTGGTTTTTAATGTCCACAAATTTCACATGATCTGGAAGAATATCGATGTATGAATTGCGCTGTTTGTCCATCGGCTGCACGTAGTCCCGATAATCAGTTTCGGAAGGCGCAGATCCGTTTGACTTCTCTAGCAGGAAATAGTTATTGTCAGATTCTCCAGCAGAACTGGCTTCCCAACATCCCGAGCTCGTTGTGCCCAACATCGGTTGCCGCTCTGCATCCTCTTCACACGGTGGCGAAGACGGAATAACATTTATATCAATATCGCCATCGGGCGAGGGAGGTTCGTGACGAGACGGTAATTCCGTCTCCTTTTCCACAATGAAATACGCCCCGTCCGCTGGAGCCTTATCCTTAACCACTTTGGAATAGCCATCACCTTCCTTCTCTACAATAAAATAATTATCTTCCATGTTCGTTTCCTTTGGTAAACTCCGGGTAGAGCCGGGGATGGGACTCAGTGTACTCTTACGTAACGCCTCGTACGGACTGCTTCCCGTGTCCGTCACCTTTAAGGTACTACTGACCAATGGGTTATAAATATGACTCCTACGCAAAAACTCCGGTCCGATTTCCTCGTACTCCGGATTCCTATACGAAAGCCGTTTTTCACTCTGTTCTCGCGATCGTGGGAAGCTGTTACTTTTTTGTGAAGCTTCCGGTATAGCCGGAAGTGGCTCCCGCCGCGTTGGTTCCCTTGTCGCGGCGTATGGTTGTGCCGATGTCGGTTGATTACCCTCTACACTAAAAAAGCGCTTCACCGTCTGAAGTCCGTTCGATACTCCTCCTATTCTGGTTCGCTTTCTACTCGGAAGTTCAATATGACCATCTCGGTACGTTGGATCTCCCTGAAATAATTCATGCCGAAAATTGATAAAAATTAAAAAATATTATTTGGAATTTGAATTTAATTATATACGAATTTGATGCGAAGCTGAATATGGTCATACTATAATACAGGAATGTCATACGCTGTCTAGTCATGAACCTTCTATTTCGACAGGTTAGATATTTACTCGTCTTAATTAAACATGAACGTGCCTCAGATCTACCTTGTATACTCCTTTAAATCTATATACCCGTGTCCCGGACTAATCATGAAGACGTATACGTTTCCTCTGTAACTACGATGACTGAAATGTGCCATTGTGTTGTTTAACTAATACTATTTAACTCTCATTGCTTTGTCTTTTAGACCCGGAAAGGTGGAAGTTTTATAAAAAGACTATATCAAAGTTGGCTAGTTTCATTACTTGATTCTCGTCTCTTCGAGGCAAACAGACGAAACAACGAGAATTAAGCTTGCTAATTTTTCTGTTTTCGGGATAATGTGTTTGTTTGTGTTTTACGTCCAATGAACAGCTTTTGTCATCAAAGGACGTGCTAGGTTTTGGTGGTGGAGGAAAGGGACCGACCTACGGCCAGTACCTGGCGACCGCCTCTTAGGCATCGAATCCTTACTCCTTACCACTCGGCCATCGCGGTTTTGGGGACGAAAATACGGAACATTGAATGGTACAGATCAGCCAGCGTATTGTAGGTTAGTCTCGTTCTACCAGACGCTTGGTCACCTGTTTATTCTCTGTTCGGCGGAGCTTGCACGGACAAAAAGAGTCTGGTTGAACTAGACGAATTGTAACTGAACTTACCATGGATACCTCGGCGTACGTGGTGTTGTCCTCGGTGTCCGTTATACTGGTCATCGTCGTCTTCATCACATTGGACTCCGCCTCAGCTGCCTTCCTGTGAACGGTATACAACGTATATGTGAAATATATACATAGCATGTCTCCGGACTTGATCGATCTCGAAAGGATTAACAATACGGACGCTCCTGATTGTGATCGAATTTATTTCCTTAAAATAATAGACCTACCGTCTCCTGCGTTCACTGCGAGTCTTCCGAGACATGACCATACACACGATGAACAGCATACACGTGAGGAGGAGGAATACGGCGGACCCCCCTATGGTGTACACCATCACACTGGGTACCTCACTGCTGGGCTCTGAAACACGAACATATGCATGTTACTATTTTTACAGTCGATGATAACAAAAATATCAAATACGATGAGAATTCAGAACGTTGCGATTATTGAATGGAACTAGTTCAATGGGAATTAACAATTAATATGATTTTGAGTTAAGAATAACTGTTAACCATCGTTTCGTGTGGCGTCATATATATTGTGCAAGCTCATGCAACGACGGGTTGGAACGGCAGTGCCGGGTAATCAGCTTAAGGATCGCAAAATTCTGTCAGTATTTGCGATAATTCACAAAATAAAACAATGCAGTTTAATATCACCAAACCAGTATAGATTCGATTGCATGTGGTAACGTCCTTGGTACATGTATCAGGGTAATAATTTGAAGGGGAGGTAACTGGAATTGCATTCGAAGTATTCAGGCTGACGGGGAGATAACCGCAATGGCAATTCACGAAATCGATCTTCAGTATTCATTCTTGGCACTCAAGTGATAAGATAAAGGGGACAGTGCTTGTATATGTTGAAAAGAACAGCAATACATGTAGTGTATACTTACTCTTGGTACTCAGACTGCCATTTGGAGAAGGAGGGGAGGTAATTGGACCGGCAGTGCTGGTTGTTAATGTGACCGAATTGCCATCAACGTCAAAGAATTTCGACCAACATTCAACATACAGGTCTATTTTGTTATCTGTAAAAAAAACACCAATGATCACTGGTTGTATGACACTTTCCTTGGTAAAAGTTTCTGACAAGGGGCTAAACGGAGGTGTCTAGGAAAACAGTATCAATTGATACACTGGAAAAGCAGACCAATTTCGGTCTCGGCGGTGTTCCCAGGAACAAGACACAAAGAGTCCCGATCTTGCAGGGGACCCACTTTAGTCGCCTCCCTCTACGAAGACGCATGTAGTGGTATTCCCTTTCCAATGTTTTCAAACCAACGTCACTGGAGCGTTTAGCCATTAGGAAAAAATCGGGGGGGGGGGGGGGGAAGAATACCCTAATTCTAAAAGGTTGTATACAGGAACATGTCCAAAGGGCTCTGACAGGGAGTAGAAAAGTATATATAACACTTTGATATCCAGCACCTAAGTACATACGTTATATATCCAAACCATGCTCCTGTTTCTATATACGATCTTGTACGAGGTCTCATAGTTTCACATCACAAGCATTGATACACGTCATTTTCAGAGCATCCTCTAGCGTGAGTAAAACCTTGTGATATGGCTCTATGTGACCTCGTCCTTGATCGTATATATATATATCACTTTTAATAGTTTGTATACAATTAACCGTGTACTTAAGTCAGCGCAGGTCGCCTGATCATGTAACTTAACTATAATTAACTCAATATCGCGGTCTCGTTAATACTAGATACGATCTTTTTAAATTTTATTAATACGGGTTACGTAGCTCATTTATACGACATAGTTCGTAAGTACGGAATACAGAGTTTGTTAAGTGTTAATAATACAAGATAGAGATCTTGTTAAATTTTATTAATACGAAATACGTATCAAGTTTGTACGAAATACATGTAAATGTAGCTATCTCGTTAGTATAAAACACCATCATTAATGTACGTAGCTCGTTTGTATGACATCACTTTTTTGTTAGCTCGAAAACGGATCTTTTCAGTCTTATTAATACAAGGTAGAGATCTTATTCAATCTTATTAATACAATCTCCGTAGCTCATTTGCACGACATAGCTATCTCGTTAGCACGCAAACAGATCTTTTTAGTTTTTTATTAATACAAGGTAGAGATCTTATTATTACAAGATACGTACCTCGTTTGTATGACATTGATATATCATTAGCTCGAAAACAGATCTTTAAGTATTACTTCTTATTTATTACAAGGTAGATATCTTATTAATACAAGACACGCACCTCGTTTGTATGACATACCTATCTCGTTAGCTCGATAACAGATAGTTTAAGTGTTATTAATACAAGGTAGAGATCTTATCAAATCGTATTTATAGAAGTTACATACCGGGTTTATACGACACAGCTATCTGTCAGCACGAAAACAGATTTTTAAATCTTTTAATACAATGTTCACATATTTTCAAAATCTACGAACCTCGTGTGTACGACATAGCTATCTCGTTAGCACGAAATACAGATATTTTAAGTCTTATTAATACAAAGTAAAGATCTTATTAAATCTTATTAACAGAAGATACAAACTTCATTGTACGACTGCTAACGCCCTAATACATTGCACTATATATTGATCTAGAGGATATGATATATGGCTTGTCGGTGAAACACTATACTGAATGACCCTATAGACCTCTGAAATAATATTCGTATGACTCAAATGAAATGTTCTATCAGCGGTAAAGCAAATAACAGGAAAGGTGACAAGTTCAATAGCCTCTTGTTATGTTATCGGGAAGTTTAAAGGAACAATACACTGACTTGATGGGGAGACCGGAAATGTTCAAAGTCCGTGCATTTACGTCTCAGATTTAAATTTGTCAATAGTTCAACATGTACATAAACACGATCGCTTTATCAACAAATATAGTAGGTATGGCCTTAAGTGGGTCTCATCGTATTAAAAGTACAGTGTACAAAGAAAGTTTCAAAACAGTTGTCAAACAAACTGTAACTAGGAAAGCATTCAAAGCAACGATTCAGTCCCGGTTATACCACATTTATTGAGCTGTGAACGCTTATTAAATTATGAACTTATTTGTATTTACATTAAACTTTGTCAACCACTTATGTAAAATGTCCGCCGACCTAACATCCCCTGCCCTTGTCAGAACATATACTCCATTTTACCGACGTATCTGTGAGAAAAATTACTTTCCCAGTCCCATTTACATTTTAATTTATAGTTTGAAGTTTAAAATTTATCATTTGTTAAATTCATTACCTAAATATATATATTTGTATGAAGAGAGAGTTTATAAATGCCCCAGTAATTATCAATTGATTTTGTAAGGAATCCATTGTTTAACCCGACCGTCATTTACAAGCAGAGTTGTTATTACTCCGTGTGGGGGGGACGCCCTACCAGGACGGAAGAGGAACAACCTACCTTGGCTCTTTTTCATCCTGTGTTTAGTCTTGAACATGGTGACGAACTTTCTTTTCCAATAAATTTCATTTCTATTACAAACTGTGCGCCATTTTGATTTTCTACACTGGAGTTTCTCGTTATCCCTTCTACTCTGTCAAACTGGTGACACACTTCCGGCCCGGAAGTGGGCCCACTTAGGCACCGCGTAGTGTGTAGGCCAGACCGAGTGGGACACACTTGTAAAATACATGTTCCTCCGCTTCAGACGACATAAACAGTGGTAGTTGTTTGTGTGAAACGCAGATGCCATACTGATGACATTACTCGAAACCATAGTTACACATCCACTTCCGGATATATGGGAGTTATGAAACAGTCGTTGTGATATTATTTATCTCTTCCGTGGTGGTTTGATTTGTATGTCTCGCGAGCTTGTCTGCACCCTCGGCTTAAGATGCACTTCGAAAAGTTAAGTGTATTAAAATACTGACAATGATCGTCTTAAAGCCAAAATATGATCTGTTTTGTTATATACCCCAAACGTTGGATAGTCACAGGTAAACAACTCGAATACAAGCAACCACATATTCACTTGATTATTGACTAAAAACGCCTTACAAGACATGTATCGCCGTCTACAACAACGGAGAGTGGCGGTGTAGGACTTTCCTTCTCATTCTGTACCGACAACAGGAAACAGGGGCAATCTAACATCATCCGGAACGGGCTAGATTTCGTGACAATGGTTTAATTTAAGCCTTCCACAGTCATTGTGATCACCATGAGATCATCACATTTCCACCACGTGCCTCTCTTGGCACTATCTCGTCCCAGTGTTCACCACGTGTCTCTTCTTACACCTGCCCAAATGCCCACCCCGTGTTTCTTTTGACACTTTCTTGCCCAAATGTCCATCTCTTGACACGTTCTTGCCCAAATGTCTATAATGGGTATCTGTTGACACTTTCTTGCCCAAATGTCCATAATGTGTATCTCTTGACACGTTCTTGCCCAAATGTCCATAATGGGTATCTCTTGACACTTTCTTGCCCAAATGTCCATAATGTGTATCTCTTGACACGTTCTTGCCCAAATGTCCATAATGGGTATCTCTTGACACTTTCTTGCCCAAATGTCCATAATGTGTATCTCTTGACACTTTCTTGCCCAAATGTCCATAATGTGTATCTCTTGACACTTTCTTGCCCAAATGTCCGCAATGTGTATTTCTTGACACGTTCTCGCCCAAATGTCCATAATGTGTATTTCTTGACACTTTCTCGCCAATGTTGACAATGTGTTTTTCTTACGATATGACATATGTCGCTCTTGATACTGCTGTGTCTTCCAGCGTTACTGTTATCTCCCTTGACACTAACTTCTAGACGGTTTTTCTTTACACGATTTTATCCTTATTTCCAGCGTGTGTCAGACTTGACCTTATTTTGATTTACTTTCATATATAACCTCTCTTTGTTACTTATATTTTCGTATTTTTAAATGTTACTTCTCAATGTTACCTATGTTTTCGTATTTTTAAATGTCACCTCTCAATGTTACCTTTATTTCGTATTTTTAAATGTTACCTCTCAATGTTACCTTTATTTGCATATTTTTTAAATGTTACCTCTAAATATTACCTTTATTTTCGGGTTTTTTAAATGTTACCTTTGAATGTTTCCTTTATTTTCGTATTTCAAATGTTACCTCTAAATGTCACCTTTATTCTCGTATTTTTGAATGTAACCTCTAAACGTAAGCTTTATTTTCGGACTTTTAAATGCTAGCTTTGTTTTCTTACTTTCAGATGTTACATATAAATGTTAGCTTTATTTTCGTACTTTTAAATGTTAATTTGATGTTTTTACATTCAAATGTTACACGTTAATGTCATCCTTATTTTATGAGTTTAAATGTTACATGTAAATGTTACCTTTATTTTCGTAGTTTTAAATGATACCTCTCAATGTTACATATTCTTTTTTAACCTATATATGTTGACTTTACTTCTTACCGTTATTCTTTTAAATGCTACTGTTTTGTATATTACCTCTTGTTTGTTGTTTGAGTGGTTTTACATCCGCTTATCTGGTACCGATAAGTTCGGTTAACCAGCAGACGAAGAAAAGATATCATTTACTGACGGGATAGAGAATAATGAAAGGAATTGTTTTAGAGCCTTTTTTGCCTATCTGTATTGTTTTTGAGACGACTCCAATGCCAAATGTTGTTTTATCCTAACTCTGTTGATGCCAAACATAAGTCACAAGTCGCATATCAACACGATGCATCGACGCGACCAGAAAAGAGCATTAAGATCGCAATCAAGCACAATAGCTCCAGTCCATTCTAAGAATTTTGTTCCGTGTTTTTTATTACCGACTCCCCAGTAACGTTGGATTTGATGAAACTGGAACTCGCCAACAAGGGGATTTATTCTAGTAACATCAGTAACATCCTACATTAAAAGTCCGTCCTAGGTAACGTACCTCTGTACTTCAGATACAAAAGAATCCCAGTAATTTCCTGCAGTTATTTAAAACCCTTTGCTTCCAAACTCTTTTCAGCTATATGTACAAGCAAACTCTGCAGCAGAGGAATTTAGATGACATTTGAAGAAGTTTTCCTTCAACATGCTCTTGCTCCACGTCCCCGTACTACTATCGTCCGGCTGGACACGTAATCACTGGCAATATAAATATTACCCATAATGCAAAGCTACGAGAGTCTTTCATGAAGGGTCTTAAGTATCGTGAAACTCCTACTATCAACTGGTATGTAAATTTCAAGATGCTTATGGTTCTGTGGAAGACTACGCCGGACAATAGGAAAAACGAGAGCGTGCCGTATTTGAATTGCTTTCAGAGTGGGTCAAATCCATAAGGTCTATCATTCAAAAAAGGATTAGATGCTTGAAATGTAAACTGATTTAGTCTGCATTTCTTGTTTCCGATGTCCAAACCACCCTCAACGATTTGCATGATAGGTATGTATCTGTGTCTATAAAAGAATAATTTAACTCATTACTTTTTTTGTCTTCAATTTCTATTACATTACCTGCCTGCAGAAAGAACTAGGCTTGCAAGGTAACCAAGGAAACCCTGACTAAACATTTTCCAATTTTTCGAAAGACGAAATACTAGCAATCCACGCTTCTGTATTAAAATCTTCCAAAATACCCATGCTTGATAAGGATACGGACCTGCCTCGTTTGTATTGGATTCCAAAGCTTCACAAGAATCCGTATCAACAGTGTTTTATAGCTGGCTAACTAAACTTCTCACTACCAATCGGAGTTACAGTAGTTTTGTTATACTGTATACCCAAGAAGTGGAATAAATGGTATGTGGATTTTGAAGAACTCAAAAGATCTTTTTATCAATCTTGAACAACCTCTTCTCGAATTTTGTTCTTTTATCACAATTTCTGACTTTTCTACCATTTACACTACCATTCCTCATGCCGTAACGGCCTCTTTTCAAAGAATAGCGGACGGCGACATAAATATATAATCGTGAATTATAATGGAGAACAGTTTGTTAAAAAAAAAAAAAAAAAATGAAATATACTGAGCCTGGTGGACATTATCTTTGTTGAGTTCGGTTGCAAGTTTTCACGCAGACCTATGCATTCCTATGGGAACAAACTGTGCCCCTCCCTCTTCTGGCCGCTCTGTTTCTGTTTCATATGAAGCTGAATTTATTGATGAGCTTATCAGGATTTATTGATGAGCTTATCAGGACTGAAAACAAAGATCTAGCGAAGTCTTTCAATTTAACGTACACATATATGGAAAACATGCATTACTTACAACATGACCAACGGGGGGCTCATTTACAACTCACTTTAAACTCAAATCTAAAATCTGCTTTTTTATAAACCGATTCAATGGTCAATGAAATAAGGCAACCCTGACCGTGGTGTCACCTAGTGCGTCATAACACATTGGTATTTCCCAACTAATCGAGGCGGGTCTCAATTCGCTCTACCGAAAATAAAGGCGAGACACAGCGCGCTATTAATTCAAAACTGGTGCTATATAGCAATACCAATAGAAATAAGCAGAGACCAGAGACCGTAGTACAATTCACGTCGCTTAATTGTTTTAGTAACGCAGGTTTTAGACAGGTAAAATGGAATAGTATTCGCCTCCAGTCAAAAAGAGTTATGCCCCTTAGCACGTACAAATCTAGCTCGCACTTTTCGTATTACCGGACTAGAATTGTGATATAAAAGTTACAACAGATTCTGCTGTAGGACGAACACATTTATTCATGAACAAGTCTCAGTACACATACTATGATTTTTTTTATAAAAAAAAGTAAACAATGAAAAACACAAAAAAATACAAATCAGTTAAGTGTACGTGTAGTCATGCAAGCACATAACTAAACATATTAAGGCTTAATTCACGATTGTCATAGCAATGCTAATAGATATAACAGAAAAGACATACAAAACAATAGGCATTCTACAATATTTCCGGACTTGACCAAATTTGTAGATAGCGTCAGGCTATTTGCCTTTCAAATTATCCTAATACGGCGTGAGTAACACTATATATAGACATTCAGAATAAAGCTGGGACCCCCCCCCCCCCCCCCCCCCCCCCCCCCCCCTCCATAACCCTCGATTTCTTCGATGTGCCGCCTAGTGCAGTGATACAGTTCAAGTCATTGTCAATGGTTCTAGTTTGAAGTAGTTATCCGACCCCGAGTCTATAGGATGTTCCTGGACTGCATTATTTTGGGACTCTGTAACGTCGGGAACTTTTTCCAGTGCAAAGTACTGACCACAGTGGTCAGTGGGGTCGGTGTGAACAGAATTGTTCGTGGTGAAATTAATGTTGTCAGAAGTGTGTCCTGATGTTTGTCCAACTTGTGGAACCGTTGCCTCTGACACAATTTGCAGATCTGGCACAAATGTACCGGAAGTTTTTTCCGAACTGACTGACTGTCCGATTATGTCGGATGTGACGTCATATGTATTTAAACGTGAATCGTTAAAATCAACTAATCTTGGATCTAAAACGGAGTAGGTGTCTTTGGATTTCACTTGTTCCTTTTGGTGAAGTATGTCGTATGCATTCTCATTTACCAGAGTGTCGGGTATGTCTTCGTAGAGAGGTGCACTCGGAACAGCTCTGTCGTTTGCGGCTGTAACACGTTGATTGGACGCTCCTCGGGTATCTTCATCCAGGATTATCTAGAGAAGTAGAGGAATGTATTATTGATATAGATCAGAAGAATCTACGTTTGAATAAAAATGACGCTATTTGCGGTAAATTCCATTTAAGATATTTCCATGGCGCGACAGTTGGGTAGGGATTGTGTTATTGTATTAAATCAACTTACAAAACGCAAAAGTATGGCCTTATCTTATCTTCAAAAAAAATAACATAAAATGGGTTCTTCTAATGTACATCATGATTGACATCTCGGTTAACGGTTTGCATAAAACGTTCAATTTAATCATGCTGTGATTTTACTGGTTTTTATTGAAATTTTTAAAAATTATAACTCTTTGTCCGTGATTTAAAAGGCCCTCGAATCAAAATTATACGTAAGGAATTCAAAGAAAACAATGTCTTCATATTTGTTTTGAAAATGAAACCAACTGATATATTACCGTAGTGTGGTCTATCTCTGAGTACATATGGTAGGTAGACTTGTCCCTCGGGGTCACATCTGTGGGGGGTCGGGATTTACACCACTTGCGCCAGGCCAGACAGAGCGCGAGGAGGATCACGATGAAAAACACAAGGCCCGCCATAACAGCCAGAACTGTGATTGTAACTTTGTTGGAAGAGGAATTTTCCGGGTGTGGGGCAAATGTCGGAGCTGCAAAGTAAAGCATTCGCCTTCAGCACAGATTGGAAATATGTACGATATACCTAACTAAAATAAAAGATGTAAGTGTGCATATTAGCTAAGAATGTTTGTATTATGGCAACTCCGGTGAATACGTGTACGAAATGGCCTACAGGCTACAGTGTTATGTCACCCACATCGGCTGCAATGTTATTTCTAAATCATTATGAAACCAAGACATCTGGTGGGGGAAAAAATGGATAAAAAAATTAAGAAATTAATGGATGTACAGAGTCTATCACAAATATGGGAACGAATTAATCAGTATCACAAAGTATGTGCTGTTGACCCAATAGGCCCAACAATGGCCTCATATCTGCAGGATGAAAGGTCCACATTATAAAAAACCTAAACATTGTTGAGTGAAGGAGAATCCACGATAAGTCCTTACGAGCGATGTTTATGGCTCTTTGCTGCAGTGTCATACGGACGTCAGGTAACACTGTTGAATTTTGAACTCGACCAATAATGTCGTGTTTAGACAATTGTACCACCTTTGTTGATATCGGCCTGATGAAACTTCAGAAGAAGTCGAAAATGCATCAGTCAGTCAGAGACTATCACTGCCAATGACAACATGCACATGGTCAGGGCAATCGGAGAAACGATGAGTTAGAATCATATTGGTAATTCAAGAGAAGATATTGAAACGTGAATTTGTAACGGGCGGACGACAGACGATGATGTAGAAAGATCTAAATATTGAAATCGTGCAAGGTGAGCTAATGATTCGATGTGACCATATACTACATTGCCACTGTTTTTACCTAGTAAATGAAAATGTAACTTTAGATCATTGACGGTTCAGTGTCAGCTGACAATATAACGAGGTAAAATAAAATCGTTGACGGTTCAGTGTCAGCTGACAATATAACGAGGTAAGATAAGATCGTTGACGGTTCAGTGTCAGCTGACAATGTTACTAGGTAAGATCAAATTGTTTACGGCTCTGTGTTAACTGGCAATGTAACTAGGTAATATAAGATCATTTACGGTTCAGTGTCAGCTGACAATGTAACTCGGTAAGATTAGATCGTTGACGGCTCTGTGTTAACTGGCAATGTAACTAGGTAAGATAAGATCATTTACGGTTCAGTGTCAGCTGACAATGTTACTAGGTAAGATCAGATTGTTTACGGCTCTATGTTAACTGGCAATGTAACTAGGTAATATAAGATCATTTACGGTTCAGTGTCAGCTGACAATGTTACTAGGTAAGATCAGATTGTTGACGGCTCTGTGTTAACTGGCAATGTAACTAGGTAAGATAAGATCATTTACGGTTCAGTGTCAGCTGACAATATAACAAGGTAAGATAAGATCGTTGACAGTTCAGTGTCAGCTGACAATATAACAAGGAAAGATAAGATCGTTGACAGTTCAGTGTCAGCTGACAATATAACTAGGTAAGATAAGATCGTTGACGGTTCAGTGTCAGCTGACAATGTTACTAGGTAAGATAAGATTGTTGAGGGTTCAGTGTCAGCTGACAATGTTACTAGGTAAGATAAGATCGTTGACGGGTCAGTGTCAGCTGACAATGTTACTAGGTAAGATAAGATCGTTGACAGTTCAGTGTCAGCTGACAATATAACAAGGAAAGATAAGATCGTTGACGGTTCAGTGTCAGCTGACAATATAACTAGGTAAGATAAGATCGTTGACGTTTCAGTGGCAGCTGACAATGTTACTAGGTAAGATAAGATCGTTGCCGATTTTGCATTGACCAATCTATTGTCAGCAGTGTTAGCTTATTAAGACATGAGAATGTTCCATGCAGGGTTTATTCATGATGAACCTTGTGGTATATCGAGAGAGGAGACTACGGGAAAAATCACATACCAATTAAGAGCTGGAAACCTGCTCCGTGTTTCGCCCTAAATGACGCCAATGATGCCAGTCTCCACTAATACATGTACAGTGATCACAGGAATTTTAGTCGCATATTATTTCCATCGTTATTAAAGAAATGCAGGTATGATCGATATATGACAGTGTCTATGTAGGTGAGCTGTAACTTAACACCGGACAATCAGCTCCCGTCATCTCCCTGTGCCATTAGCTCTCACTAGTCAATTTGGCGCGCGAGTTCCTCAATATTGTATCCATTGTGTTATGAAGTAATATCGCCATTTCTTAAACATGAAGTTGATAATTAGGGCCTACATCACAGGGACGTGTCGCACGTAAATAGGCGTCATTGTCTATGTAAAGTAGTACTTTATACATAATGTGATGTCCAAAGCATGTGATATGCCCCTGTGGCCTACACCTAGAATACTAAATTCTCAGACATGTACACGTGTTCAGACATGTACCAAATGGTCACCTTTAATGAGCTGACGTTTTGTTTGCCATTAAATAAATTTAAAAAAAGCAAAAGACTAAACAAAAAAAAAGCACCATTCAGAGCAGAACATATAAAATAAAGTGAAAATAAGAAATGTCATTCATTAAACCATTCTATTCTATGAATTTGAAATTATAGAAATGAAACACTTCAGTCTAGGACAGATGGTAACCACTAACACACGAACGCGGATGTCACCGTTTGTATACGCGCAGAAACATAAATATTTTCATTATTCTCCCGTATCAAAATTTAAAGGTACTTTATAGAAGACTTACCTGCAAAATTACCTGTATTGTCTTCCGACATTGTATCACTGGTAATAGGGTTTCGTGACTCAGTGTAACCACTACAGACAAGGTGTGTTGTTTGGTGAGCTGTATACGTATCTCTAGACTGTGTGATCTCGGCTATACAATAGCTCTTAATTTCTGATTTAGGTCTTCCCACGAAAATCGATTTACATCCTTTTGAGCTTTAAAGTATATGACAGGGAACAACAACAGACTGACAGTGCTACAACACTCTATCAGCCGAGGAGACTGCGGCAGGTCATGTCCAGTGTACATTGCCACAAAACTGAGCACTAAAATGATGGCAAAACAGCAACCATATTGGGCAGTGAGAAGAGACCACAATGACTTGATAGTGTGTTAAAGACATATGGTATAAAAGCTCAAACCAGTGTCAAAGGCATGGTATATACACTTCATAATCTGTCAAATAAATGTCATATAAAAAGAAGCTAGAGAGAGAGAGGGGTCTAAAGCTGTGGCATAAAAAACTAGATAGAAGGGTCTAAAGCTGTGGCATAAAACCAAGATAGACAGAGGGTTCTAAAGCTGTGGCATAAAACCAAGCTAGAGAGAGGGGTCTAAAGCTGTGGCATATAAAAACCAAGCTAAAGAGAGGGGTCTAAAGCTGTGGCATAAAACCAAGCTAGAGAGAGGGGTCTAAAGCTGTGGCATAAAAGGAAGCGAGAGAGAGGGGTCTAAAGCCGTGGCATAAATAAAGCTAGAGAGAGGGGTCTAAAGCTGTGGCATATAAAAACCAAGCTAGAGAGAGGGGTCTAAAGCTGTGGCATAAAACCAAGCTAGAGAGAGGGGTCTAAAGCTGTGGCATAAAACCAAGCTAGAGAGAGGGGTCTAAAGCTGTGGCATAAAACCAAGCTAGAGAGAGGGGTCTAAAGCTGTGGCATAAAACCAAGCTAGAGAGAGGGGTCTAAAGCTGTGGCATAAAACCAAGCTAGAGAGAGGGGTCTAAAGCTGTGGCATAAAACCAAGCTAGAGAGAGGGGTCTAAAGCTGTGGCATAAAACCAAGCTAGAGAGAGGGGTCTAAAGCTGTGGCATAAAACCAAGCTAGAGAGAGGGGTCTAAAGCTGTGGCATAAAACCAAGCTAGAGAGAGGGGTCTAAAGCTGTGGCATAAAACCAAGCTAGAGAGAGGGGTCTAAAGCTGTGGCATAAAACCAAGCTAGAGAGAGGGGTCTAAAGCTGTGGCATAAAACCAAGCTAGAGAGAGGGGTCTAAAGCTGTGGCATAAAACCAAGCTAGAGAGAGGGGTCTAAAGCTGTGGCATAAAACCAAGCTAGAGAGAGGGGTCTAAAGCTGTGGCATAAAACCAAGCTAGAGAGAGGGGTCTAAAGCTGTGGCATAAAACCAAGCTAGAGAGAGGGGTCTAAAGCTGTGGCATAAAACCAAGCTAGAGAGAGGGGTCTAAAGCTGTGGCATAAAACCAAGCTAGAGAGAGGGGTCTAAAGCTGTGGCATAAAACCAAGCTAGAGAGAGGGGTCTAAAGCTGTGGCATAAAACCAAGCTAGAGAGAGGGGTCTAAAGCTGTGGCATAAAACCAAGCTAGAGAGAGGGGTCTAAAGCTGTGGCATAAAACCAAGCTAGAGAGAGGGGTCTAAAGCTGTGGCATAAAACCAAGCTAGAGAGAGGGGTCTAAAGCTGTGGCATAAAACCAAGCTAGAGAGAGGGGTCTAAAGCTGTGGCATAAAACCAAGCTAGAGAGAGGGGTCTAAAGCTGTGGCATAAAACCAAGCTAGAGAGAGGGGTCTAAAGCTGTGGCATAAAACCAAGCTAGAGAGAGGGGTCTAAAGCTGTGGCATAAAACCAAGCTAGAGAGAGGGGTCTAAAGCTGTGGCATAAAACCAAGCTAGAGAGAGGGGTCTAAAGCTGTGGCATAAAACCAAGCTAGAGAGAGGGGTCTAAAGCTGTGGCATAAAACCAAGCTAGAGAGAGGGGTCTAAAGCTGTGGCATAAAACCAAGCTAGAGAGAGGGGTCTAAAGCTGTGGCATAAAACCAAGCTAGAGAGAGGGGTCTAAAGCTGTGGCATAAAACCAAGCTAGAGAGAGGGGTCTAAAGCTGTGGCATAAAACCAAGCTAGAGAGAGGGGTCTAAAGCTGTGGCATAAAACCAAGCTAGAGAGAGGGGTCTAAAGCTGTGGCATAAAACCAAGCTAGAGAGAGGGGTCTAAAGCTGTGGCATAAAACCAAGCTAGAGAGAGGGGTCTAAAGCTGTGGCATAAAACCAAGCTAGAGAGAGGGGTCTAAAGCTGTGGCATAAAACCAAGCTAGAGAGAGGGGTCTAAAGCTGTGGCATAAAACCAAGCTAGAGA